AAGGTGTAGCTAGTATTCAAATGGCCCCTCGGCTACCTGCTTAGAATGTGAAGCATGTATTTTCCCCTAAAAATAAATAAATAAATAAGGTTGCAGTTGGTCATGGTTGAAGAATTTCCTTTGCCTCATTCTGAAACAGAAAGACTCCTGTCACCATCTCTGTCATCTCGGCCTTATCCCCCCCTGGGTATAGTTTTACATGGGGTCCTCCTGTGATTTTCAATAACAGCAAAGGCTGTCTGCTACTGTCATTTCTCCAAACACAGAGGCCGCTTAATTATAATAGCAGTGTGTGAATCAGCATTGCATTAATTTGGGTCTTTTTTCCCCAATGAGCCCTTGATTTTCCATTCCTCCTCTTTCCAAATTATGGAGGCTGCAGTGAAAAGCATTAATGAGAACTCTGATAGCATTTTGGGTTCAAATTGGGGGAGGCTCATCTCCCTACTCAGCATGGAGACCCATTATGTTTTAATGATATCTGCAGATAGTTCCTCGGATTTGGTCAATAAATTTGAGTGAACGCAAATTTCATTTATCCCATGCAAATGTGCCACACCAAGCACAGACGTGGGGGGTAAATTTCTAAATTACATCGGGGCCAAGTTCTAGTCCAGGGCAGTCCAGGCACGGGTTACAAAAAAAACAGCACTTTAATCCTTTGTTTTGTTTGTTCTCACTACTGTCGTCTACATGATTGATGATGCTCTTTTGTAGACTCGTCATAAAGCACTCTGTCTAGACCACGGTGAATTTGACTTTGCAACCTGCCTATAAGCTCTCCTACAAAGAAAACAAATACCTTTTTCATGGAGGGATGTATTATTGTATAGCCACATCATATCATGCCAATCAAGGGAACAGAATGAAAGCACAGTGCTGCAGCAAAGAGCATGCAATGCCCTTTGCAAAAGGGCCATCATCACACATAGTGTCTCAGTGATGGCCTTTTTGCAGCTCGGTTTATTTCACTGATCCAAATCTGCAGATAAAACCAACAACTGCAACACTGACATTGTGTTAGAGCTCCATTGTGAAAGTAAGAGTATGCTCTTATTCAGAAAAAGAAAGGGCAAGCAGGTATAAAGCTGGGTTACAAGGTGAATACAAGAATGCATGAGACTAGCCTATTCTTATGGTTTGCACTGTGTGTGTGTGTGTGTGTGTGTGTGTGTGTGTGTGTGTGTGTGTAGCTGTTGAGGCAGACATAAGGGTATGGGGTTTTAGCTGGATTGAGGACACCAAGTTGACTCCCTGAGTCCAAAACTCGCCATCGTTTTCTCCTCTCTCTCTCTTTCTCTTATCCTCTCTCCTATTACTAGTCTAGCTAAAATGCAGTTCCAGAGGATTAAACACATTGCCCTCTCTCTCTCTCTCTCTCTCTCTTTCTTTATTTGTTTCTTTTTCTTTCCCCTTTTACCTCTTACAGCTGGTAAACACACAGCTTCAATGCACTGTAGCTAGCAACTTGTGTATGTGCATGTGTGTTTGAGTGTGTGTGCTGATTAAAGCCAGCCTGTGGATTAATTAGGGTAAATAACCTCAGAGCAGATTTTGGGATTTAAGAGTTAAAATCCACTGAGGGCTTTAGGCAGGAGAATGTGTGTCTGTCAACCTAGTGTGTGTTTCATTATGTGGCCACACTTTCCTTGTCCTGTAGGGTTTCACTATTTTAAAGAGGTTACTTAGTCGCCATGGTAATAGCACCTTAACAAAAGTCTAGCCAAGAGATCACATAAGTCTACAAGTCTACATAAGCAATTTCAGAAGCACAGTTTCTATCTAGATCCATTAAAAGTGTATTTTTATGACAACGATATACACTAATTAGCATTACTGTAAATGGCCCAGTGTTAGCTAAATGACTAGCCACCTCTGTAGTCCATTCACTGACTGTTTCCAGGCATCAGTCAGTACGTTTACATGCACAGTTCAGTCTAGGTATGCCATTTAATTTGAATACTGTCCTTGTCCCAGTATACAAGCACGGGTTATTGACCGAAGTATGTCCAACTATTAAGGTTGACCTATTATGTCACAGACAAAACAATGGACAAGTTAGCTACAGTTAGCTAGCAGCAAACTGGTACCATGGAGGACCCCTTACAGCTCTGTACATTTTGTCCATCCAAAAATGCACAGCTCTGAATGTAGATGTCACCATGTTGTTTACCAGCTTCTTCTCCTGTTAGGCATTTAATGCTTTCGGGCCGTAATAGACTGGCCGCTTGATCGAACGTTCGTGTACAAAATGCGCCGTGTCTGTGTATATACTTCCTGCAGCCCTACGCAGCCAAAACGCACAATACTGGCGGTCTCCACTTGGGGCAGGCAATAGAAATATAACCCGGAAATCGGGTAGTGCATGCCGGGTGTTGTAAACAAACATGGATGCCCTTGATATGCTTGATGAGGAAGAAGAAGTGTGTCACTATGTAACGGTGTGGAAACATCATAGAGATGCAGGTAGTTCCATACCAGGTCTGTTAGCCTCTCTTCAAAAGTTTCCGCCATTGCTCTGACAGCGACTCCGTCTGGTCTGATCTCATGGTCACCGTGTTCATTCGCACGAGCGCCTCTAGAGGTTGGTCAATATTGCATCTCCGGCACGCGTCACGGTACCTCACGTTGAGATGTGCGGCCGACGCATCAAACGAACACAGATCACGCATGGCAGCCATGATGCGGTCATGTTGTTTGCAGCAAGTATATCACTGGCCTTAGACTTCCCGGTCAAAGCCTGGGCGGACACTGTGGGGCATGCTCTGAGCACCGAGGCCGGTTTAGGTCCGACTGACTGTATACATGCAGGAGTAATCTGACTGTGGCTGTTAGTCCAACTTTGAGAAATTCAATTTAGTACGATTTCAGTTGGACTAAGATGTTGACATGTATTTTAAAAGTCCAGTTTTAGTCAAACTAACAACAAATAGGGCATCGTTGGCTTAGTGGATAGAGCAGGTGCCCCATGTACAAAAGCATCGTCCTTGCTGCAGCGGCTGTGAGTTCAGCTCCAGCCCGTCGCCCTTTGCTGCGTGTCATCTCCCCCCTCACACTGTCCTGTCCATTAAAGGCATAACCCCCCCCCCCCCCCAAAAAAAACTAGCACAACAAAACACTTTTCTCTAAAACATAAACAAACTGAGTGTGGTTATCAACTCTCCATTCTGACACTGGATGGAAACAGGTCAATAATTGCTTCCCTCTGCAGAAATCACTGCTGCATTGTTAAATACATTAATTATGAAGAGCTGCAACTAATATTCATATAAATTTTTACAATTAAATGATTGTTTATTCTATATCATTTCTGAAAATAGTCAAAACTGTCAACCACTATTTCCCAGTGTCACATGAGACATCTTTAAATGTCCTGTTTTGTCTGACCAACAGTCCTACACCCACAGATTTATGATATAAAAAGGACCAAAGCAGAAAATGCTAACATTGCAGTCGCTGAAGCCAGGTATAGTAAAATTGTAATTGATTTCAGCCATACAACTATGTCCCATCAAGTTTTGACAAAATAAAGAATCATAAATAAACATAATGTCCATTTTCTCCCTGTATACTCATGTGGGCTACATGTATGCAATTTTTGTCCATTGAACAGATCAGGCGTTTTAGTGGTACTGGTGAAGACAGCTGACAGCTTGGCCAGCTGCTGCCTTTTAGTACCTCAGGTACCGTGCTGCTGAAAAGACAGCTGGTTCTGACAATAGTGTCTGCAGTCAAAGTCAAAGTGTACTGCACAGCCATCTTGCTTCTGATGTGAAGTTCAGATAACCCTCACTCTTCTGATCTTAAATGACAATCTTAAAAAAATATCTGTCTCTACAGTCAAGTCAGATGAATGCCACATCACAGACAGAAAAACAAGTGGAGCCTCAGTGTTTTGCTCAAGGACACATTGACAAAGCAGATGCTTGTTGCTGCAGGGGCTTGAGTCCAGCTCTCCCAATTGAAAGGCGATCTCCCTAAACACTGCACCACCCTGCTGCTCCTGATTTTACCACCAGGACAATGTGTCATCAGAAATACTTACAAAACATTAAAGGCGAGAGGAATGCAGTAAGAAAACACTGCAGGCAGCGTCTCTCAGCCACGAGGATGACAAAGCCAATTTGAAGATCTTTACCCAGTGGCATGAAGCTCCATCCCTCACTGACTGAAAGAACCAACACATTGTGGTTGCATATGCTTAACTGGCTCTCCCACTCTCCCACAAGTGAGACCAGGGCCTTGTTCACTCTCCAAAACCCAGCAGCAACAAGGCAATCTGTTCTCAAACAGCTGGAGCTGCCCCCAAGAGTGAAAGGAGGAGAAAGAGAGGGACGTCTCAGAGAGAGAGAAGAAGTAGAGAAAGCGTGAAAATGAGAAACAGAAAGAAAGGCAGGGATGGAGGCAGAGAAGCAGAGAGTATTAGAGAGTTTGCTGTCATAAATAATCAATGCTTAGTCAACACAGAAAATGAGAGCGTGTGAAAGAACCAGGGTTTCCTCCCATTGCCAAATCCAAAAGGGAAAACTGCCAGAATCACACACGTCATGAGTAAACAGAGCAGAGCCAAAATGAAAAAGAGAGATATGGAGACAGACAAAAAGATAGTCGGAGCAAAGAGAGACAGAAAAAAACATGGAAAAGATGACAGAGAGAGATACAGAGCAAAATTTGGAGACGAAGAGAGGAAGAAAGAGCTGGAGAGCAGGAAGAGGGCAGCAGGAAATTCCTTCGTCATTTTCCCGACCCTTTGTCCTTCTCAAAAAAAAAAACTGGAATATGACAATACTCCTCCTCCTCTCTTTCTCTCTCATGTCACTCCTCCCTCACTCATTAGTTGTTTCCTTCATTCTTTCTTTTTTTGTGCACGCCTGTGTCCATGTGTGCATGCCGTGCACATCACAGTCACATGACGACTAGATTCAAGATCATCTGGCAGTTGGCGAGTGTATTCTTCAGCACTGCGTTAGCACACGCATGCAACACAGACATGTTCATACCTCATGTCCTCCAGCAGGTCACATTCAGTCTGGTGTTTAAAGTGCAGTCTTGTCATCTGCTCTGTGTGTGTGTTTTTCAGCTCCTGTGTCACTTTGACCTGGAGGAAACAAAAAGACACGTCAAGTAAAGGATCTGTCATTTCTTCATCTGCTTCTGACGTTGACTGTTATAATAAAGCCAGGGCTTCCACTGGAAAAAACAATGCCAGTTAATGTGTCCTGGAAGATTTCAATCTTCTTCTTGGCATCATCAAGGCGTGTACAAGTATAATATTTTTTATTGAAAAACAGTCTACTTTTGCTTATACATTATATACCAAATAAAACAGTCCTGTCAGTAGGCTTGCGTGCACAATACACTAGTTTAAAAATAACAGAGACCGAGAAAATTAGGCTAATTATGTTAGACTTCAACAGGTTTTCCCTGAACAAAACGGTAATTACGAGATTACAAAAACCCAGAGTAGAGCTAAAATACTGTCATTTCCTGGTTGTAAGAGAATTCAGTCAACAGTGGATGCCTCTACCTGCTTTTCATACACACAATATTAATTCAAAAAGTCTCACTACAGCTTAACAAATACAGCGACATAACCCAGTAGGACTGTAACAAACACTTTTTTATCACACAATTGTCTATTAAAAACATTGTGACCTTGGGCTCTAGTAGGGCTGCAAGTAGCGAGTACTTTTATTGTAAATTAACTGTTGATTATTTTCTTGATTAAAGGATCAGTTTGGGCTATAAAATGTCAGAAAATGTCGACCCATGTTTCCCAAAGCCCAGGATGACGTCCTCAAATGTCTTGTTTTGTCCACAACCCAAAGATATTTCGCTAACTGTCACAGAGGAGTGAAGGAAGTAGAAAATATTCACATTTTAGAAGCATACAGAGATTTTTTTCTTAAAAAATAACTCAAACCAATTAGTAATCGATTATCAAATTAGTTGGCAATTGAATTAATAGCTGACAACTAAACATTTATCAATTAATCATTGCAGCCATACACTGTAACAAGTCAAAGATATAGACTTAAAAAGATATGCAAGACAGAAAAGCAGTAAATTGTCACATTTGAGAAACCAGAAACAGAAAATATTTGACTTTTTTTTGCCTCATTAACTGACTTAATAATCAAAATTGCTGCAGATCATTTTCTGTTGATCCACTAATCAAATTGTTTCAGCTCTAAAGCCAATATCCCAGTAGCGCCGAGACCAAAAAGCGGCTGATGGTACTCCAATAGCAGTTCAGGGGCATATGCTGATCTCCCCAGTGGTATAGCTCTTGTGTTCCACCAGCACATACAGTTTCAAAATGGCAGGTGCCATTGCCATAGTGTCACATAAATACCGCCCCATGCTACTGTACTGTAAATGTATATATTTTTCATCTGTATTTATTTACAGTGTAGCGCAACATAGCACCATAAACAATGAAATGTATATCTTTGTCCATTATTTCAATGGGTGAATAATGTTGTGTGCTATATATTTTAGTGCATTCTCTTTTATTGATCGTTTTGATTTGTGTTACGTGTCGTTGACTTCCATGAAAAGGGCTCTATAAATAAAATGCATTATTATATATTTACAGTCCAGTATCATGGGGCAGTATTGATGTGCCAGTCTGACAACTGCACCTGCCGTTTGAAAACTATATGTACAGGTGAAACAAGGCTGGCAAACCATTCCCGGGATCGGTATAAAACTCAAAGGATCAGCATACCATCAGCCACTTTTTGATCTCGGCATCACTCCCAGTACTAACCAATATCGGGGTACTGATTCAAGAATACGGTAAATGGTTTTAGTCAGAATAACTTTCAACTCCCAAAGTTCACAATCTGAATCCAGGTTAAAATCAGCATTATTCGGATGTGACTTCTTTCATTGAATCTATATCTGTCACAAAGGAGTTGATGGAGATAAAGACAGCGAAGGATTTTCATAGCTCTGAGAAAAAGGGGCTACAACTCAAGTTCTGAATGTTGTGTTCTTTTTGGTATATTAATACCAAAGAATCCAGCTCCTGATCCACACTGACCTTCATACACATACACAGATACATGCAAATAATTAAACCCCATCAGTCAGTCTATCTGCCTATCACCTGTCATCTATCTTGAGTGTGCTCAGCTCTGGAGTCACCTGAGAGGAACACACACATACACACAACTCTCATCAGTAATCCATCAGCATAATAATCAGTGTCCGGGTTTTGTCAGACTTCTGGGGAGGCTGGAGGAGGCCTTTTGCAGTTAGAGGTCACTGAAGACACATTAGCAGCCCATAACAGCATTTAGGAACAGACTCCATGTGCATTAGGGAAAAGATGCTCATTGTAACTTCTCATATAAAAATTCATTTAGGTGGTCAGACCAGAGGCTATAACCTGCTCTCATTTACATAGTCTTGTGCAAAATAACAGACAGAGAGCTCATCCTTAATGTGCACACAAACAAGCACACACACACACCGCCAACACATACAGAGTCACTGTGATGGTCATTGTGTATTGTCGGGTGAATTCCATCGCCTATTCACCAGAGTAACAGTGGGCAAATTCATGACTGTTCTAGACAAAACAATCAACAACACAACACACACACTGGTACACACACATACACACCAACACACACTGCAGAGCTCCTTTCTTTCATGTGCTGTGTCTTTGAAGATAAGGAGGGAGTGGTTCATTACATTATCAGGGCAAAATTACCTCACTTGCTTTCACCTTCTATCACTCAGAGGAAGCCACAGGGAGAGGGGGAGTTAAGGGGAAGGGCACAGGTTGACAAGAGAGATGGGGAGACAAAACGAGAGCAAGAGTTGGTAGCGTGGTTGTGGGGCATGAGAAGAGAAGGGGGAAAAAAGCAGATGGCAAGACTTGGGAGAGGGGAAAGTGACAGTGAAAAGGCTGGGATATGGTACGGAGATGTTATTTATGAGGCAAAGAGAAAGAGATATTCAGCATATTAAAGGTCACGTTAAAGGAAAACAGCTCAGATAGTGTAATGGTAGCTGATGCAGCAGGTAGGTCTGTACCGCTGAGAAAGTGGGTCCTGTTTTGTAACCCAAACTTAAACACATATTTCACAGTGATGCTAATGTATAGGCTGCATCCCCATCTGTGTGAGAAAGTAACTAAACAGCAGCTGGGGTTGGGTGACATGACCTAAAATATACATAAAGATAAATGAACAGATTTACTATGTACAGTGTGTATGTATTTCCTTTCTCATGATAGATATTTTTATCCTATTTAATTACAGTATGTCTAGCTTAAATACTGGGCTGTTGGCTGATTTGTTGGTGTTACTTCCAGTTAGATGTCACTGGGTGTGTAACAGCTGTCAGTTTATGGATATTTATTGAAGACTGAAAAATATGTACATTTGACTTTGATAACGTCAATAATTTGATGCCTTACAGTCCAACCATAATACCTTGAACTGGACTGTAATTGAATACAATAGCTCCACAAAATATGGCCTCAAAAGCTCCGACTAGGGCAATATGCAATATGGACAAAATCAGCTATCACTATATTTTTGACCATGTATCTTGATATCGATGTTGCAACAATACAGAGAGGTGCAGGAATGAGTCCTAAAACCTGCATATGAGTTAGCATTTTAGCACTTTCTGGTCCCTCATCGTAAAGTCAATGTTTTTTAATGGGTTTTTTGCTAGTTGCAAGCTTAGGAGACTTTCATGTTTTGTTCTATGACATAAAATATGTCAGCGTACCACCAATTTACGCCATGCTTTTTCCTGAATATTGTCGTCACGTTTGGTGCGCGTTTGGTACAGGAAGGAATGGTAAAAACAGGCTATTCTAAGGAAAGTGCTCCCAAGCAGAAAGTGACATGACACCCCCTCTCCTATTGGTGTTGTTTTTTGTGTGATTTTAGGTCCAATGTGTTAATACAGTATGTCAAAATGGAAAAAATAACTGTAAAGTCACACAGTTTTTTAGGTGAAATTTAAAGGTCAACTAAAGTAGTCAAAAACAGCCAATTATACCCTTGACCCCAAAGGGTTAAATCATACGACCATTGGGTAGGTCATTTATAGCCTAACATTAGCTTTTTATGTTGGGCGATTTGATAACGTGACGGGCATAAAAGTGGTGTTCATATGTGAAGATCTGCTTGCTGAACATCATAAACTTCTGTTTGCCATGCAGATTATTTTCTGCAATAATCCAAAATCTGATGGAAAAATCTCATAGGGCTTTCCAACGAGGAACCAAGGCGATGTGGACTTCAGCGTCGGTCTACAAAAAAACACCATCCCTGCAGCACCTATTGTAGGGTTGGCTATTGGTGGTGGTGGTGGTGGTAGTGGATATAATGACTTAGTAGTTAAAGGCATGTAATACAACTGCTATGTTTGGTAAGTTCAGAAAATTACACCACTTTACTGTAATACAGCCTTTAAAACTAGGTAAAGACAACACTTAAAATATTACAATATTTAAAAAAATCTAAGACGATATGTAGTCTCAAATCACAATATTGATATAATATCAATATACTGCCCAGCCCTGGCAGCAACCACTGTATGTGTCATTATTCATATGTCATAGATAGATAGATAGATAGATAGATAGATAGATAGATAGTATTATCTCATTTCAAGACAAATTCATGAAGCGATTTCCAGCCTCATTAGCAGCCATGTTTAATTTAAGCCACATAAAACTAATATATGAGAGTCAAACCAGCTCAATCTGTAAGCAGATGTGCTGAGACACAGACAAAACACTAAAGGGGCTGTACGTGTCGCACTGGGAGAGAAATTATTAGCATCCAGCAGCCAAATACTGATACACTGGCTGTGGTGCTTTGGGCTAAGTGTACCGACTGTGCCAGATACATTGGCAGGGCGTTAACAAATCAGTATTTTGCAAATAAATTCTGCCTTACTCTCACAAGTATTTCCACAGCGAACTGAATGGGAGAGACAGTGACAGCTCACAAATGAGATCTTACCAATTTAACAGGGCCGCAATGGTGCATTTGATCAAACACAGTGGAACAAAAGGGAAGCACATTGGTCTCTGCAGCCTCAGTGATGAAACCTGTTTAAGTGCATGTATGTGTTTTACTGACATGATATGACATGTTCAGGGCCGGTCTGTGTGAAGAAACCCAGAGCCATAAATGGCACCGGGGGAATATGTGGTAATTAAGAGAAAACTGTGCAGAGGTTCACAGCAGGGTAATTGGCTCTCATGCATCTATTTCAGGAAAACACACACACTCATGGAAAGCGATGGGCAAGCAACTTAAACACGTCCTCTCTCTCTCACACACACACACACACACACACACACACACTGGGTGCCAAGCTATAGGGGGGCTGTGGTCTTTCCTAAGCCCATACAGAATCAATAAGTCAGTATCAGAAATGGCTCTGCCAGCATGTCTCATCATCAGTGTGTGTGTGTGTGTGTGTGTGTGTGTGTGTGTATGTGTGTGTAGCTCAGGCTTTGATGAAAAGATGTGACCCTGGACGTAGTGAAGGTCTTCCCTTAGGAAGCATCACAACGTGGGAAACACGACAGCTTTTGTTAGCTGTCTTAATGACCGTCATCACAATTTTAAAATGTATAAATGAGCAAAATGACACAACACTGTTTTTTAAATGTGGACTGTAATAATTACTGTGACGTTACAAGCTATAGCGTGGCAGCCATAAGTTAACAAGCATTTTTTTTTATCATTTAAAGTTATTTATTCTGTAAAATGTAACGTTATTTAATAAAAACCAGAGTATTATGTTATCTTACCAACATGGTTTGGTGCTTTGTATCCAACGTCTCATGTTAGCCCACCTAGCGTTTTCTAGCTAACGTTATTTGACGTTTGACGGCTCGCGCTTCGAACGTTAAACGGCTGGATGGATTCATATTAATGTCAATAGGTTACCGACTAACCTAGCTAGCAAACGGTGCTAATGTTAGCTAGCAAATGTCTTTTCTCCCCTTTAATTTCCCCAAGTCCGCATTATTAGACGCTTTTAAGTGTTAAAAACATCCACATCTGAGGTTATTATCTGTCTGTCATTGTCTGTGCAGCTAAAACATAACGGACTCTGGAAATCACTCACCTTCCTCGGCGGCGGCTGCATTTTGGAGTATTGACATGAATGGTATTTCCCTTGCGAGATGTATTGTAATTCCAAGAGGAAATCCAAATCAGTGTGGGAGTGATATTTTGTCTCCTCAAGCCGAAATCCTCCCCTCCGGACGACAGGGAGGAAAGACGGGGAGTTAGATTTGTACTCCGGCGGCCATGATTGATGATAAATGGCTAGTTTGCACAGAGCAGAAACTGGAGCTGCGAGGAGAGGCTGAACACACTTGTGTCGGCTGCTGCCACTACGAGAGGACTAGTGTGTACTGTACTGTGTTGTGGAGCAGGAGAGAGCAGACAGGCGGAGAAGAAAAAGCAGAGGGAAGGGATGGGGGGGATAGAAACGGGGAACCCCTTCAGCAACTCGGCTCAATACTTCCCCAATGTGGCGCAGCGCGGCATAGCGCCGTGTCTGTGGTGAAAAACATTGAGCGACATCCTTTTTGTTCTGGCTCCTCTCGCCTGCCGTCGACTGTAACCGCGATCGACACTTCCTCAAAGGTGTTTCAAGCCAAATAAAAGGACAAGAAGGGTGTTAAATACAAAATGTGAGTCTTTATCCGATGAACATGAGGGGTTTCCGAGATGCTCCAGCCTGCTCAAGGAGAAAAATCTGACACTGACAGCAGCCTGCGTCCTGCAGACCTGCATAGCAACAAGAAACCGCAGTCGATCAAAGAAAAATCGATCAGAGTTGGACGATTTGATATAAATATGTATGTATGTATTTATATCAAATAAATTCATGGAAAAAGAGGCAAACACACAAAAGACACCTTACCAAATTTTACATCATTGGGTTGTTAATAATAACAATTAAAAAATATTATTTTCAGCTTGTTATCAGCCATTTGGGCATATGGTATCAGGCACACATCAAAGTAAACATTTATTTTTTAATTTATTTAACCTTTATTTAACCAAGAAGTCCTATTCAGACTGAAAATCTTTTACAAGAGAGACTTGGCCAAGGTAGCAGCCAATCAAAACACATTTAAAATGCAACAAATTCAACATATAGCACAATAAAACAACTATTGAAACATAGTGGCCTCTCAAGAAAAACAAGCAACAAAAGCAACCATTTGGAGGAGAGTAGCTGGTAACTACCAGAGCTGACACACACAAGGGTGCAGAGGTAGGCCAGAGGTTTGCCCAATATTGCTTTATAGATAAAAATACACCAGTGCTGTTGTCTGTGAATGGTCAGTGATGTCCACCCCAACGCTACTTTACGCCATTGTTAAGAAGACTCTTGTGCAGGGGAGAACAGGGAGGGTTGTCACACTTTACTTTGTATGTTATCATAGTTGTCACTGTGATAACATATGATGTGACATGACAACCTACAATATGCTACACTGAGTTACGATTTTATGTGATGCAATGTGATATGATGCGATACAGTATGGTACGGTAATGTGATAGCCCATGACATGACACCCTAGACAATGCAATCATACATTGTATAAAATAATGGCTGTAGCTACAAAGCCATTTTTAAGTCTTGAGTTTGGCATGTTGGCCGTCTTGGTTTTCGGAGCCAGATGTGACCGAATTTGGACATGAGGTTGGAGCTGTGTAGGAACAAGGGGTGGATCTGACTTGTGCTGTGGTGACACCTCGCAGACAGCCTGTCAAGTAGTCCCACCCTTAAATATGTGTAATTTAAAGTCTTTATAGAAAGTAAATGGGTGGGTTATATAAAAGGTCAACCCTGGTACTGTTGTCATGAATGTTGAAATTAGCTATAGACACTAAAACCATGCTTTGCACCAGGCTGTAAACATGTTTGTTTCTGCTGTAAAGTTGGGCATTTTAACATGGTTGTCTTTGGTGACTGGCATTGACACACTGATTTCAGCTTTTTACCATAATTCAGCTGAACAGCCTAACCTTTATCTCCTTAAAAAAGATATGGACTATCAAATGTGTCTTCTGCACTTGGGAGACTCGTCCCCACCATTGGCTTGGTTGTTTCTGTTATTTTAATGCGGGGAAAAAATTGAAGAAATCTTAAGAAATAATTGAAATTTGATTTCATTGAAAATGTTTCATTGAAACGCAATAACCTAACACATCTATCATAAGCAGGGAAAATCATTCCTTTCAAGTGCATTCTTCATCCTTATATAAAGAACAAAACAAAGAACAATACACGTGACAACCAACCCCGTGGAGAATGTGAAAAGCATTCCCAAGAACACATTTTTTTGCCAGGGACTAAGCTAACAACCACATATTGTAGCCTAGCTACTAAAAAAAACTAAACTATAGCTCTTCCTTCATACTTTTTAAAGGCAATAATTAGAAACCCATTGTGTAAAAGCCATTTTGACATAAAAATCACTAAAAGTCCTCTTATTTTGACTAAAAGTGTCTTAAGGGAGCGAGATCTAATGGCTGTGACAACCAACCCCGTTCTCCCCTACTTGTGTGTACTGTGAGAAACCAGCCAGTAGTCTGGGTAAAATGGGGCCATGGGGTTCAAGTGGGTGCTGAGTGAACAATTAAAAGAAAACATTACAATAGAGGGTGTCTGAAACCATTGTAATGAGCTGGCACCAGCAGCAGCTGGTTTGACATACTGTCTGTATGTAGCCTCTATGTGTGGGCCTGTGTTTGTGCCTTAGGTGTGGTTGGTCATGGTTTTAAATTAACCAGGTTTGAGAAAACAATAATGTAATGGTAACATGTAAATAGATAAATAATTCCTCTCTGGTCCATTGTGTTAGCCAAACTTTCCAGGGTCTCCTGTGTGAAACCTCTCAAGGTTAAGACACACTGGCTACTGAGGGGAAGAAATGCAGTTTAAGTTACTGTTGCCCAGCTGGTGCTTATAATGCCAGACTATAGTAGATTGTAATATGGCTGGCAACATCTTACAAGTGAGCGGAAATACATGATTCCCTTGAAGCATTACTTTTGGCCGGATAGAAGCAAAGGCAAAAATAGCAGGATGGGAAAGTAGCCACTACTTCATGGCTCCTACGTGCCATGGCCAAGGTTAAGGTTAAGGCCCATGTAATCATTAATACACAGACTTTCTGGAGCAAGTAAGACATTAAGTCCTCCTTCTCACCTTTTGTCTCGGTAAAAACCCTCAAACTAACACACACTTTCAAACGCATGCACACACACATTGGCCGTCAAAAAAAACAAACACACCTAGTAACACCCACGCACGTACCTTTCTGCCAGTAGCGCAGAGGAAAATGGCTGACATACTGTATCTGTTAGGATCCTGCCAGGATTCTTTTGGTTTATGATTTCTCTTAAGATTTGGCGTAGGAGTATCTTTTTATCTTTGGCAATTCTAAGGTAAGACAATTTACTGTAATAACAGTTGAGTGCTTCAATTAAAAGTACACAAAGCAGCTCTGATGGCGAGTTTTGATTCATACATTGCAGATTTGCCTGAAATGTGAGAAACAACAGATAGTCTTATATTCTTTGTACACTGGTGTTTTAAAGCTCATATATTTATGTTTTTGATCGCATGGCAGGAGATTTTTACTATTTCTTGCTTGCAAATTCATTATGCTAATAGCTGTATGCTTTTATTAAGATTTACATAGTACCAATAATACTGATAATAATAGTTGTAATATGTATTTTTTTAATTCCTATGCCCTGTTAAAAGCTAGCTTACAAAGACAGATAAGTAAATGCTGATGATTATATATATTGGCCTACTCTTATCATAGTAATAATCACATTTATTAGCCTCAACAGGATTTCAGAACTACCTCTTTTTTAATTTAAAACATAAAATAATGTCTTTCTTTGTTGACCAAACTAAAAACAAATAAATATTTGAATAATTTAAGGTGGTGACAGCTTCATCCAGTTTACTGCCCATTAGTCTAACAGATAGTTAACATCTGAGCCCCAGGCTCAACTGCTCTCACGCTGTATACAGGCTACAGCTTGTCACAGACGCATACACCTCCTCAAGTTTTTCAGCCACTGAAGTATCCAAGGCATGCATTGAGCCGTAAACAGCGCAGTTAGATACACACTGTACTTCTACTCCTGAGAATGAGGATACATTACACAGCATGGCCGGCACATGACAGTCTGTGAAAGCGTTTGTACAGAGTGAGTAGTTTCATGTATTTAAAGTAGGTGTTGTCTCATAGGAAAGGGGGCATTTTAGTGCATTTCCTGGGATGCAAAGTGGATATTCTTGTACAGCTGAATTAACAAAAATAACACAGATGACTTTATTGCTGTGCTCATGTGGTGTGCACACAGCAGGTTTAGAGGACTACAAAAGAGGGCCGCTCCGTCTCAGGTCTGTTATCTGTTAAATTCAACCTGAAGCTGTTTTTGAAGGAAAATAAAAGGCAGTGAAGACAGCGAAGGGTACAGAGTGAGCAGGAGGCAATGTTTTTGATCAAGAGAAAGTAATGTCAGAGAGGGAGAGGAAGAAAAGAGAGCGCCGTAGGTTAACTCGTCAGTCAGCGGAGAAACAAGTAAGTGTGGCAGCTACTGTCTTATTTGCATGCAAGTTCTTTTAAAGCATCACTTCTGTGTTATTGCATTACATAACTGATTTGAGCTTGAGTTTGTCAGATAAACAGATTTAGAGAAGAGGAGGGAAATGGACTGAGGTTAACAGTGTACTATGAGTGCCAGTAGGTAAAACAGAAAGACAGGGGTCTCTAAACAAGGTCTGGTTTGAGTTAAGAAGTTATTCCTCTGTCTCTCGCTCTCACAGCCATGAGGTTTTGGAGAACTTTGGCGTGCAAAGTGCCAGAATGAGTGCTGTTCTTCTGCCCGAGAACACAGCTGCACTAAAAAGTTGTTGCCACACAAGTCTGTGTGTATTTTCCTCTGAATCTTCTCAGCTCAGATATGTTTAAGTATTTAGAGCTTGTTTTCTTTGTGGGGAGAAAGCAGAGGTAATACAGTTAAGACCAAGAAGTATTTCAGTAATTTGCTGAGACAAGGTGTAAAGATGTCTCATGGAAACCTGTTGGGCCAGGTGATGGAACAATACAGTACATCTTGTTAAACACACACAGTACTACTATATATTGCACCCATAAAACACACACTCACTCGCACACTTGTTCATTTATTCCACCAGAAAATGGATTTAGGATTCCTGCTGTTATGATTTGATATGGATGCCACCATTTAAGTCTCCTCTTCTCCCTATCCCTCACAATTCGTCTCTCATTTACTCAACCACCCACTCAGAGAGAAAAAGGCGATTAAAGGACGTCAGCATTAAGATGATTTACATTCTGTGAAATGCACAATGACTTTAAAATGGGATGACTCACGCTATAAGCTGGATTGTGTAAATTTGACTGGGAAATCACAATGGATCAGTCGATTACGCTTGAGCGCTGCATGAATTATACTGAAATGTGCTGCTCAGGCATGCCAGTGTGAATGACTCGCAGCATCCTAAAATGTAAT